AATAAGTTTTTTACGTCTGTAGGATGGTAATGATATCAATGAACAAATACTGCGCTAACTGCGATTTGAATATTGCACTTGTTCGTATTGCAATTTTGTTAACATTTTCGATTATTTGCACTCACGCTTTGGAAATGTTAGAATGACCAAGTAATGGATCGTGAGCAGAAGTGAACTCGGAACAAATTGCGTCAAAGAAAAAGCTAGGATGGGGCGATATTTAATTCCTATAAAAAACGTTGGTAAGTTTTGACTTTTGAAAATGCTGTCTTGCTCGAAGAACAGACTAACACGATGTTGATGTTTTATTCATGAAGGGAAATCTTATGTTTTTTTTAATTATCTTTATTTATACATTTTTGTTTTCGACTCAAAGATATGCACATATCTGTTATGCAACAAAAGGGATTAGTACCATTTAAAGCCCACGTGGATGACATTTGAGATAATATAGTAGGTTGCAGATTTCATTGTGACATGACATTTTCACATTTCCCCATGCAATGATACATTATGAAACAGTAGTTCCTGTTTAGAAAGAGATCCAAAACAGAGACATTGTGATTATATTTTCAGGAACAAAAGCATTTGGCGTGTTTAAGCACTCGTAACATCCTCACTTTCCAGTGAGGATCTCCATTAGCTGCTGTGGAATAAAGCAAATATTGATCAGAACAACAGTTTCAACACGCTGTATTAATGTCCGAAAGAATAGGGCTCTTACATTAGGCCTAGAATTTCCTGTTGGAATCAATACACACACACACACACACACACACACACACACACACACACACACACACACACACACACACACACACACACACACGCAGACGACGACGACGACGAGACGAGACACACACACACACACACACACACACACACACACACACACACACACACACAACACACACAGCACACACACACACACACACACCACACACTCGCTCCAGATGGACCTAAGTGCTAAGATAATAACCGTTTGATTGGTTAACCAGAGGCATGCCTGTTTTGCCTGCTGCTCTTGCCTCACCGTCATACTCAAGTCACTTCTCTCCTCTCTCAACTACCAAGTTATTGAGCTGAGACCTCCCTACNCAACTGGCCACATCCGGCCCGCCAGACATTCTCATCCGGCCCGCACGCCGGGGGTGACTGTGGCGTTGGCGGAATGGTTAGTGCGTTCGCCCCCCACTCATTTTTCTTTTTACAACGTCTCGTGAGTAATGTGCTGTACCCATACTTGCCAACCTTGAGACCCCAGAAATCGGGAGCATTTCAAAACCGGGGGGGGGGGGGGGTTGGGGGTGCTAGTGGATCGCTGGAGCTGTAGATTAACATTTACATGCTTATTGTAGTTGTAAGTGCAATGCCCGCAGCACCATGGAGCATATGTGTGGGCTGCACCTGTATTTTGCAGGAAAGGAGTGAGCAGAGGATTGAGTTGTCGATTCTTGTTCAGTTTTCTGTGACTATCTTCCTCACCCTCTCAGACTTTCAGTTGCGCGCGCTACTAAAGAGACGCGCTACCATGGAAACCAAACAATGGTGTAGCTGTATTGAAGTCTGAGTGGAAACAGTCCTGAGTAAATCTGATTTTTGTCAGAAATCGGGAGAAATGCGGGAGAGGGCAGTGAAATCGGGAGGGTTGGCAAGTATGGCTGTACCGGAGTCCAGCAGAGAGGCAGCAGCTGCGGGACAGTAGACTGCGTACTGCATAGCCTTCCCTGCCCTGAAGAAGAAGTGATCCTTTGTTAGCGCTGAGAGTCTGCTAAGCTTTATGCGCTCCGCAGTACCTGAGCGTGCTCCACTAGCCCCCCCCCTCCCTCCGGTCAACAACTTCAAAATGCTGGGCTATATATAAAAATCGCTGGCCCGAGAAAGTGTCTATTGGATAAATGTTGGCCCTTGGACAAATGTAGTTGGTGATCCCTGTCATAGACCAATCACAGACTATCCATGGGCAGCAATGGATAGTCTATTGACAAGCTGTTGTTAAACTACCTGGTAAACATGATATCCCAGAAGATTGAAGTTAACTCGCTACGATAGAGGTGCAGATCAACCCTGAGCTAAACATGGGCTAAATATTAGGGTTGTAAGTCAAAAAATGTCATTACACTTGAGTGTCGTCAAAAACACTATTGATCTTAATTTAATATTTTACACGCAGCCAGTGTGGCTCAGATTGCACTGGTAGAAGTGCTCTCATGTATGGTGATGCAGGGACTGTGATAAATGCAAATCCCGCTGTTTTGATTGCATTAAAAAAACTACAAATGTTCTTTTTACTTTTTTTTTGTTGGTCATAGAGTTGTGTTTTTAATAGCACGACAGTATTTAATTGTTACACCTGTATCACGATACGGATTGTATCACCAGATTCTTGTCAAGCGCTCAGAGATATTGGGCTAACAATGACCAATCACACTAGAAACGCTAATCCAAGAGGATTTTTAGGGCAATACAATGCTAACATATTAGCCATAACAGCTACAATCTGTCTCTCAGGGGTGGGTTTCTTTGCAGAGTCATGTTAATGAAAGAAAATCACTTAATGCAGTTTTGTTGTTAATAACAGTCTTGAAACTTTGTCCATACTTCGTCCAGACAGGATTTTCAATCACATGACCTCCACAGAATGAGATATATCGACGCAAATACAGGAACAGTTCTTCATACATATTCATGTTTCTCGAAGAAAAAAAAAAGTCAGGTTTACCATGGAAATGTTTGTTTTAGAGACGGAAAGAAAGTGGTTACTTGTCAACTACATGTAGTGTTAAGTTAAGGGACAGTGGCTGTAAAAGACTCCGGTATACTCCTTTTTAAATCTCCGCTGCACCTGCTCAGCACCACAGTGGACGACCAGAGGGGGCTCATGCTGTTTGGCCCCCACCGTGGACCCAGTTCGGACAAAGCGTGGTGCTTCTACAACGAAAAATGGGGCTTTGACTTCTGGACACGCACAATTAATGTGACGGCCTGCGGTGTGACGGACTTAAGAAAACCGCTTCTTCCATTTTGACGTAGCAAAGTGGGGGAGCTTTAGAAATATACTAAACCCCCAGCAGAACAACTATAGATCAACACGATAACTTATGAAACCTGTAGAGAAACATTTCTAAAAAAAATATTGTACTACAATGTTTTGATGTGGTTGTATTATCCATCATAGCAGTGTTACTGTCCAGATTTTTACTTTTAACATTTTTAGCACAGATCCTGAGAACTGTCATGGCATGATAATATTACGGTCTCGGTATATTGTGGGACAGGCTTTGTCTCTTAGTTTGTTTAGCATCGTTTCGTGTGTGGCAGATCTCAGGGGTTCACCACTAGCTGGGACTAGCTGTGTGGACCTGTGAGAACTGTCCCGACTCACATCTGTTATTCGTTTGTGGCAACATTTTGAAAGACACTTAAAATATATGTTGGTTGTCACCTGTTGATATTTTATTTTGTGTCTTGCTTTGCCATGTTCAATTGTTTTAAAAATGTGTGAACTTGTTTATTACATGTCTGAGTAAGAAAGTGTAAACAAAAGATATCATTTAACTTTGTCGTTTCACTTTTCCTAAAGCTTTAATGAGGTCCTTTCATGCTTCTTAGGGTTTTCCCCTTTTCCTGTAGAGTGTTATATAAGTTTCTGTGTATGTCAATGGTCGGCAAAGGCTAAAATCCTAAAGTTTCTCTCCCACACACTGCACACGATGAAGAACAATATCCCGGCCAACAAATCAGATTCTACTCGACATTTTTCCTGCACATTTTTAATCCTCCTTAAAAAATTGAATTATCAATGTTATTGGATAATGATGTCATTTATCAATACCCCCAATATTGTGTAGCCTACATATCGCAGTTGGAAAATCAGTCAAACTATTCGCAATTATTATTATTTCCAAATCGTATAGCCCTGATTATATAGGCTTACAATAGTTCTGAGTATATGGTATGGTTTACAAACTAATTGATCCACCACTACAGTCAATCACCTTGATTTTCCCACACTTGATGCAAATGTAATTTAGGTCTTGTGGAGCCACAACAATAAAGACTAGTCACTTAAAGCCCTGAAAGGCTCTTTACAGAGGTGAAATGAATTGAGAGTTGCTGCAGACTAGACATAGCTGAGGGGGGAGGGAGAGGGGAGAACCAACTTTGCTTATCGCTCCCACCCTTCCCCCTATTTAGGGTCTCGACCTCCGGCTTCTGTTGCATGAAGAAGCATCAAGTGAAGATGGTGGAAAAGAGAAACCAGGATGAATTGCATGGCCTTCAAAATAAAAGCCTGACAATTGTGATTAGGGACAACGACTGCAGAGAGCTGCACAACCTCATAAGCAATTGAGACTTTTCACTAGCCTATATTACGAAATGTTCAAATAGTTTTACAATATACAAATAAGATTGCACAAATATAATTTGTATTTTTTTGTATTTCCGAGCCAACTGGCTTTCAGGAGTAAGTTTGTCAAATGTGATGCATTTGTAGGAACTAAATATCTGAGCTATGATCTATTATACATTTAAGGGGGGGGAAATGTATAATAATAACTTAGATTATTAAAGGGTCTTACATTTCCAGAACAGACAGATGTGAAATCCATTAAGGTTTCTGGTGAGTGAGATGTATAAAATGTTAAGGTATCAAACCTTAAAACAAAACAAGTAAAAAGATAGACTTACTGTAATGTAGGTTCGATACAAAATAGCTCCAAAAGGCTAAATCCTTAAAGTGTTTACATTGTTGTATGGCTAATACATGGCCTAGTATTATTATCTAGTGACGTAGCATGCACTTGTAGTTAGCATATCTGTCATATTAGACATAACATTAATGTATTTCTGACTCAATATAAAGCTACTGCATCATTTGTTTAAAAGCTTGACAAGTGGGAGAAATGTTGAAAAACGCTGCAAAGTGTAACATGAAACAATGCTTCAACGGCTGATGAGAGCTTTAATTTTTAAACGTGCACCGGAAGTGTGTTGTCATTGCGTCAAGCTTTGCAGTTATTATTTCACACTAGTTAGTTCTGTGTCATGACTTTAGCTCCGAGTTGCGTTTTAAAACTCCAAAATGCGGCGCTACATTCGTGCACTAATGCTGTGCACAGTGTTTGCCGTGTTTTCGGGTGTGTATGTTTACAGTAAACTGTTTTACTCGGACTTCTCGCTCGGTGGAAACGGTCCGAGAGGTTTCATCCCACAGAGAGTCCCCGGAATCAGGCGAGGAGCCGTGGACAAAACCGGGCCCCAAAGCCCACACTGGTACAATAGGTAGGACTAAATTATGCAGGTTTTTCTGACTTTAATGGGGTACAACTTGGGGGAAAATGCATTTTATACAATAAGTATGAGTAAAGTTGTAGGTATCTACTCTGTACCACACTTGTTATGTATAGGAATGTGACACTGACTGACAAAACGGCACCAAACTTCATTACAGATTTCTGTGATTTCTGTAGTAACGCGAGATTTGAACAGGTGTGCGATCTTCGAGATTAATTAATACATAAAATACATAGTAGAGCATGACCAAATTTGCCATACAATTTAGCACCTTTTCACTGTTCAAATGCACTTTTTAGCCTGTGCAACTAGCTTTACTGCCTTATTGCTTTCACACATGACTGTTTGTGTGTCTGCCAGATATGCAGGTTAGAGAGGAGATGTTAAGATAAATAGGGGGAGAAGCTAATAAAGTCAACAGTTGTATTAAGCTTTCTAATCCCTTACAAAGTTCACTGTTAGCAAGTTTGGGTCCAGTGAGTGATAGGAAAATCCATGGGATAAAGCCTACTATTGTTTAATAATAATTTAATAGATTCTGCATTAGTGGTTTGGTCTGTGAAAATACCAGACAATATATTACAAATAAGTGATATCTTCAAATTGCTTGTTTAGTCTGACCAAAAGTCCCAAAACATAGAGTTTACTATGACAAATACAAACATAAGAGCACATTTGAGAAGCTGGAATCAGAGAGTAATTGCTGTTTTGGTGAAAACAAAGGGCCATCATTTTATCACATACTCTATATCCACAGCTAAATGTGGGGGTGGCATACTCTAGAGAATTTGCTAAAATGGCATAATGACGTTAAACCATTCTCTGGTGGCTTGACATTGATATCAGGTGATGTTTTTATTTAAAAAAAATCCAAAAGTAGAGCTCGAATATGCCAATATTTTGTTTTTTTAGCACTCAATTTATTTGGACCTCAAAGTCAAGGGTCTTAATAACTGATCCTAAATCCTACGCCACCTGTCTACCAGAGTACTAGTATTTATATGTTATACATCTGTATTTGATCTCTTTTATTTGTTAGTGTGATAGGCATTATTTAATTGTTGTTTGTTTTGTGTGTACCTCCCCAGAGCTATAATCTGGAATATTGCATCTCGTGTCTTTTTGAGATTCATGTGTTTTTATACATGCTCTTGTTCAACAAAGATATATAATAATACTTGCAATATTTGTAAACCTACTAATATCCCCAGGGCCCAAGAGTTCAAAACTTTTCATCTCAATCAGATCCGATCCGATTTTGAAATCCCATTTTTTGTGATCCAGGATCTGGAGTTCAAAGCAATTCAGGATAGGATCAACCTGATCCAGATTACGATTTTTCAAGATGACTAGATCCTGAATATCAGTACTTTAATCCTACCGATCGCCATCTAGTGGACAGGAAAAATAATACAAGGAAGACAAGAGACCACATTGCAGAGACATCTATAATGTTTAATTATATTTTTTTATTTGAAAGGTGATGACAGATGATGGACTTTTTTTTTGTTGAAGATATTTTTACTTTAATCTAAATTACATTTGTGATTGACAATCTTTGCTGTGATACTTTTATGAGCATAAACATTGGGTTGAAAACAAAATAGGCCACCACAAACGTGAGCAAAAATGGAAAAAATAAAATGTATTTCCCATGAAGGCNGCGGAGATCTTTGCATCGATATGTTCAAAACGTTTTTTTTTCAAATGTAAAAAAAATGTCGAAAATTATAAATAGTGAAAAAATAAATATCAACACATATTATTCTAATACGGGTCTTTTTTGACCCACTTATGGAAGAGTGTAGGGTCCAGTC